AGTTATGCAACATCAAGTTCAATGAGATGTGGAATCTAGTAAGTTTATTTTCCAGCTCAATTATTTATTGAATGAGTAGACATTTTTTTAATAGGAAGATATACATTTGGATTAAAAATTGTATCTAATTCTTTCTGCAGAAGATATGTTTGAAATTTATTGTGGACAATACAAACACATAAATGAGGCTTCCATGTAATTATTTATCCCATTATTTGTAAAAAGTTAGAAAACTTGATTCCTGGGGAAAAAGTTAAACTATCAAAATTGTTTGCCATCATGTGTCTTTCTTATTTTTACATTTTCATGCAAAAAGCCCTTCACTGGTCGATATCATTTCCAATGCCAAAACATTGCTAGTTTTTTGTTTGTTTGTTTCAGTATAAGTGAACACAAAAACATTTTATGTTGTTTAAAGTGTGTGCAGTAAGTAAAAGCTTAAGCTTTGGAGTCAGGTATATCAGCTTTTAAATTCTACCTTCATACCTTAATAGCTCTATGACCTTGAGCAAGTTACTTAAACATTTAGATCTCAGTTTCCACATATGTAAGTGGAAGTGACAATAGCAGCACATGTATCAGAGGATTGTTGTATTAAATTCATTTAGCACAAAGCTTGGTATATATTAAGAACTCAATTAATGGTAGCTACCATCATTTAAATAATTGACAACATACTTTGGAATTAAAATTAATTCAGTTGCTGAATCTACAATGATATTTGACCATAGAAATTTGCAGAAAAAATGGATTTTTATTTCTTTTTTCTTTTTGTTTTGTTTTGTTTTTTGTACTGGGCATTGAACTCAGGGTCACTTAACCACTGAGGCATGTCCCTACCCCTTTTTAGTATTTTATTTAGGGACAGGGTCTTACTAAATTGCTTAGAGCCTTGCTAAATTGCTGAGACTGGCTTTGAATTTGCAATCCTCCTGCTTCAGTCTCCTAAACCACTGGGATTATAGGTGTCCTCCACCACGGTGGGCTTTTATTTCCTTTATATTTCACGTTAATAAGATTATGACTTGTAGGACTTTGAAAATGTGTAAATAGGTAGTGCAAGTGGAAGTATTGTATTTTCACAATTTTTTCAATTACATATTGATAGTGTGATGAGTGGTAAAACCTACATTTTGCTAAATAATAAAAATTTAACTCTTCTTAAATCGGTGACAATTCTGGCAATAGTAGTAAGTGCAAATAAAGAATAGTCTTTATTGAAAACTTAAGGAATGTTAATTTGATGTATTCTCTCATTTTACCAAGTATATTTTTGAACTTTTAGCAAAATTAATCTTCAGTCTTTTATATATGTATGTATGTATGTATGTATGTAAGTATATATGTATTTTGCAGTACTGGGGATTGAACTCAGGACATTCTACCTCTGAACTATGTATCCAATCTTTTTCAGTTTTATTTTGAAACAAGGTCTTGTTAAACTTTCTCATGCTGGCCTAAAAATTGGGATCCTCTTGCTTCAGCTTCCTAAGTAGCTGGCCTTACAAGTAAGTACTACCTGCCCAGCTAATCTTGATTTAAAAGAAATCATCAAAATTATTGTTAAGCTGGGTTCAGTATGCATGACTGTAATCTCAGCAGCTTGGGAGGCTGAGGCAGGAGGATTGTGAGTTCAAAGCCAGCCTCAGCAAAGGCAAGGCACTAAACAACTGAGTGAGACAATGTCTCTGAAGATTAACTAGGGATGGGGATGTGGCTCAGTGGTTAAATGCCCCTGAGTTCCATCCCTAGTGCCCCCTAAAAAATTATTAAGAATATCTTTTAAATATGCAATTTTAGTTGAGATATTTGTGGTGATTTAGAAATTATTTTTAATAAGAATGTCACAAAACATGAATTGGCAGTGTTATATTGCAAGTTGTTCTGTGTTTTATAATGAACCAGTAGGTTAGTAAAAAGAAATTAAAGACCAATTATAAATGTCATTAATTCATTAGATTAAAATTTTAAATATATATATATATATATTTTTTAAAGGCCTTACTAGAGTGATATATTTATTGCTTGTCCAAATAAATTCTATTTTAAAATAGATGTTACTTCATCATTCTCAAACAACTACTCAGACAACATGTATATTTCCTTTCTTTTATGCCAGTATCTGATCAAAACATATAATTTAAATTATATTTGTTGTTAAATTGCATATTTACAAACATTTTACATTTGAACCACCAGATATTTTTTTTGGGGGGGAAGACTGATTAAGAAACTTTATTACAGAAAATGAATGCATCCAACGTCCCCAAGTACATTTGTGACAAAAACAGACACAAGGGAGACACAGACAATAGTTGCTACATTACAGCCTTGTTCTTTCCAAAAGATAAAACATTACTCAAGAACAGGGTAAGGGGGTTGGAAGAGAGTGTTTAAGAGAAAAAAGTACTGTCGTTTTGACTTAATAACAGGTTGGCATTGCAAGAGGATTTGTCCAGAAATCAAGCTAAGCCTAACCTTTTGTGGTAACATCATGCCACTTAAAGCATCTCAGAGAAGCTAGAGAACAACATTCCACTTAGGCATCTAGTGGCAGTGTGTAAACCTTAAGAGTAGTGATCTTGTAACAAGCAACTGGAGTCTCTCTATAACCAAAAGTCTGCTTAATCAAACATCATTTAGCTAAATACCTACCCCCCACTTCTATCTGGCTACTGAGGGAGCATAAAATCCACCCCCACCCATAGTTAGAAAACTAATTCCTTGAGATTACTGGTTGAGCATCTCTTCCATATCTGATGAGGTTGGCCTGTACATTGTGCATTGTGCAGTAGTAGCAGTTTTAGTTTAGAATGCCAAGTGACAAGGGCATGGCTAAAGCAGGAGGAACAATCCTGGAACAAGTGCCTCTGGGCAAACCTAATGACCAAGGGTTTTTAAATTAGTGGAAGAATTTAAAAAATATATATATTTAGGACAAACAGTTCTGATGGGGAGGGAATGGTTATGAATGAAGATCAGGCTGTGACCATGACTTGCACTCATCTAGGACCTGACACAGTAAAGACAGCTCCTTAGACAAGAAAGGTTCCGAAGAGTGAACTTTTAAGAAAAAGCTGCTTTCTTGTAAAATACCATACACACACAAAAAGAAAAAAGAAAAAAAAATTATATCCAAGTGCTAATGCTAGGCAATGCTGACACTCACCCACAACAGTATTATCATTTGTTACTTCAGTGAAGTACAGATAAGCCATCCACTGATATTTAGTATCACCATTTGCCACTGTAGCAACCACCCCCATCCTAACCTGGGAAAAATGTTAACACCATTTACTAATACAACCACTGAAACACAAATCAAGCTTCTTTAGTTTAAGAACATTGAACAACCATCTACATTTCTGGTGAATAAGCTCAAATCACAGGTAGGCCACTCTCTATTTCATGATACATTTACTGCTTAGAAATGTTAATCCTATTGGCCTGCTGAAGTGACCCAAGATGGAACTTAAATAACTTTCTTGGAATGTCTGATTTTTTGAATGAGGAAAACAGGGCCAAAATATGGATAATGTCCCCTACCCCACCCCATCCCCCATCACTGGGGTCTAGGAGACAAGGAGCAATTTAAGGCCTCCTCAAATGTTGAGCACAAGAAATAACTATGTATCCCATTACATGTGCAGGAGTCAGAGAGGAGTGAGAATAAATAAGGTATGAAGTTTTACACCCTATACACTCTGGAAGACTTTCTTACTGTTTAGCAATGCATTTGACACCAAAAGAAGATGTAGAGCCGAAGGTAAAAAGTAAAATCTGGAGTTACTTGGCCCCCATCCCGCCTGCCTGCCTTCCTGAACAGTACTGAAGGTTGCTGGCCCTTGCCTATGTCACTACATTCACTGGTCTACACTTCATCTTAATGCCATTCAGATACAACAAATCATGCAGTAACTTCAAGTAGCGCCCTCCTTCATCTTAGTCCTAAACTGACCATGAGTGTAAAATAGAAGTTACCAGATTTATAGGGAGGAACAGTTTTAAAAATGTAATACTGTTTATTTAACTTCAAAAACATTTCAGCATTCTAAACATACAAAAAATAACATAAAGTTGCAAATTGCATTTAAGTACAGAAGTTTCTTGAACTTTCATTGATGCAGTAGCTCTTTGCTTTGCTGACAATGAAGAGTTCTACAGTTTGTTTGAAAACAAAGTTTAAAATCTACCGTACTTAACTAAAAAATAATTCAAACACTTTTCATGCCAGTTGACCCCCCTTTTTCCACAACTAAGAAAGGCAGCAGAATGCTATATCACTATATACAAAAACAAGACAACCTGAAGCTAAATGGATGCCCACCGCAGTGTCAACAGGTCCAGCCTCACAGTGCACACCCTGAGCTATGGCCCCTCCAAAAGGCATCTTCCCCCCACAGCCTCAATGCCAAGCAAGGAGCATCAAGAGTTTGTCTCGGTTGTTTTGTTCTTTTTACAGACTATAGATATGTACAGTTGATAACTGAGGATTTCTAGCCAATAACCATATAGTTAACACCACCTTACAAATTAAAAAAAAAAATGCCAGAAACATCTTCAAACGCCTTGTCACACCAACAGCAAAGTGCACAGAGTGAGGAGAATACGAGAGTGCCTTTTCATTTTAAAAATGTTTGGAAATATGTACAACTTTGATACAGTTTTAGGGTGCTCTGGACACCCAGGGCCACTTCATGTAAACCACTGACAATTTCTAGAGCATTTTGAGAGACTATAATATGATCGTGATCAAATTCTGAAATTAAATCTAATGAGAGTAACAGACACATCTTAAGTAAGATGTGTCAATCATGGCGCTCCCCTGCTCTAAGGTATTCACAAGAAGATGGATAAACAGTTTTTTGTTCCTCCTCCTCCTTCTCCTCCTCCTCTTCTTCTTCCTCCTCTTCTTCTTCTACCTCTTTTACTTTTTTCCGGGCAACTTTAGCAGGACCCTTTGTGCCATCAAACTTTCCTTTAGACTTATAGTCAGCAAATCATTTCTCCTTCAGCTTTGCAGTCTTCGTGATGTATGGCTGCTTTTCACTGTCACTTAAGTTATTCCACATCTCACCCAGCTTTTTTGCCACATCTCCAATGGAGATATCAGGATTTGTGGAGTTGATCTTGGGGCGGAATTCTGAACAGAACAAGAATCCAGATGGTGGTCTTTTGGGGGCATTAGGGTCCTTTTTCTTCTTGCCTCCCTTAGCTGGTCCATAGTCCTTCATTTCCCGATCATAGCGTACTTTATCTGCCTTTGTCATTTCATCAAATTTAGATTTCTCTTTCCCAGACATTGTCTTCCACCTCTCAGAGCACTTCTTGGAAAATTCTGCAAAATTGACAGGGACTTCTGGATTTTTCTTCTTATGTTCTTCTCTGCAAGTCTGCACAAAGAAGGCATAAGCAGACATCTTGCCCTTTGGTTTCTTGGGATCACCTTTAGCCATCCTGACTGTATTGTTCGCTAGTCTGGGCAGCTCAGGGCACGACGCGCGGCTCAGCGCTCCCCAGCCTCATGCTAGCTGCCTTCATGAGAGCTGCCTCGAACCACCAGATATTTAAGTAACTTAAGGATGCAGATTTTTCTCATGACACAAAACAACCAAAGACATACAAATTGATCCCACTTAGAAAGTCTAGTTTTCTTGAGAAACTGCTCAGTCTTCAGTAGAAATCCAAGAAAAATGCTTTTCTTTCATTTATTAATCTTTTTCTTTTTTAAATTCTGAGTGTTTTGAAAATTAGTGAATATAACCTACAGTAAAATGGTTAAGAAAAATACTAAACTTATATTTTTGATAAATGAAATGACACAAAGATTGTTAAAATCATTTGCTGTCATTATTCTGAGAGGTTGCATTTTCCCTTGGTGGTATATTAAAAATGATCAAAATTTCAAACTTCATTCTAAGGAAGAGGTTTTTTTTTTAATTTAAAGGATAATATAAAGTTTAAGTTTATTGCCACCACTTATCTTTCTATTTGCTCTGTTTAAAAATTCTTATTGAAACATATTTAAATGTCATAGTTATTTTGCAGAACTTCATCCCCCAAGGTAAAGAAACATATAGAAGCTGAATTTTTGAGAATCAGAACACTTTTTCTTCCCCAAATCTTATTGTATCATCAAATCTCTAGCATTCTTTAAAACATCTTGATATTGCATGATAGATATATATATATATGCCTATTATGTAAATGTATAGATATGTTTGTATTTTTAAATTAGTATTTGTAATAATGAATCAACAAGAAATCTGTAATATTTTAAGTTACAATTATTAGAATGGAAACATTATATTCATCATGCTATGTTTATTGATTACATGTATTTAGATTAGATTCACACTAAAATAAGTGGTCAAGATAAATAAGATATAAGACAACTAAATGGAGTGTTTGCTCCCCAAAAGAAAAATAAAATACGATTTGTTTATATGAAAGTGACATTGAGTAAGTGAAGTGCCTAGAAGTTTTTCCTTGAATAATTTAGTATATAATATGTGAATAATTTAAAGAACTATAAAGTTGGAAGACAACAGGACTGTAAAATAAAACTGGAAAAGAAAGGATACTGTTCAAATTTGATTTAAATTATCTGTCTTTGTAATTAGTAAACCGTTAGAATACTCATTATATCTACTTATAATGAGTATTCTAAGGGTTTACTAATTTTTGAAAATTGGGAGGGAAATACTCATTTGTTTTCTGTTTTGAGGTATACCAAAATTAAAACTTGCTAGAAAAAGAAAACGAAAGTGAAGGAATGGCTTGTGTGTGCTAAAACAACTACTTAAAGGGTTTATTTTCCACTAGAGAATGTTGTTGTGAAAAAAGAGAATGGGCATGTAATGTTTCTAAACTTTTCGTGGTTGTGGCATTTCTCTTAGCTGTCTTAAATTTTCTAAATGTTTTGTCATAATCTGCACAGTACATGTGTTTAAAATTATAGTCCACAGAATTATACAACTATAAAGGAAACTTTTCTTAAAATAATAATATTTAGTTACCTCTTATTTGTCAGAATATCTTGGTACTGAGGATTGAAGACTGGGGTGCTTTACCACTGAGCTCCATCCCTGCCCTTTTTATTTTATTTTATTTTTTTCTTGATATAGACTCTGGCTAACTTGTTTAGGGACGCACTAAGTTCTGAGGCTGGCCTTGACCTTGGAATCCTCTTGTCTCAGAGTTGCTGAGATTACAGGTGTGCACCATAGCATCCAGCTGGGAATTGCCTTTCCTAATACTTTCCAAATAACAATGCACCCAGATTATGGGGAATTTCAGTCTCATTGAAAAAATTTATTTCTGCATGCAAATTTAACCTGCAAAAGTAAGATACACTTGAGTTTAAGCTTAGGCCTGAACTGATTGAGAGAGAATAGGCAATTTAGAATTTGACACTTGATCACACTGAGTGCAGAATAAAGAACAATAACAATGATATATTCAGAAACTTTTATTTATCTATTTTATTTTTACTTTCTGGTAGTTTTCGATTCTTTCACCTGGGAATCCACAACTCTGCATGCTAGGCAAAGATTCTACTGCTGAGTTATAATTACAGGAAAGGAACTAACTATTGTTAGAGGCCAATGTTTTTATCCTTAGTACTTTTCTCTAATCAACTGTATCCAGACTATCATGCCACTAATCATGTCCAAGAGCAGATAATACACAATATTATACTGATGTATTTTGTAAAACCTGAATAGAAGTGAATATATTATACTATCAGTAACACCAAAGGTGTCCTCTTATACAACTATGCATTCTAAGGAGAGACAATAAGATAAATACTCTGAACTGAACAAAGTTCAAATAGTTTAAATGATATCAGAAATGTCTCCACAACCCTTAATGATGTAAAGGTGAATGCAGAGAATTAATAACTAAGTCAGACAGCAACTTCATTTGATAAATTAATTTCATAAGCTTGAATCAACCAACGAAGATGATTGTCTATAAAGAAGATGATTGTCTATTGAAGAGCAGTATGTTTCCTTTAGCAGATATGTTAGTTTCCTCTCTCAGTAATTATTTTCTGACTTTATTCTGTACTATTGGCAAATTCTTAAGTCAGACTTTTCAACCTCTTGATTTTGCAGTTGGTTTGACTTTCTTAACCTTAAAACTCATTACTAGTACATTTTCTTAGACACAGAAATTCTTATGATTAATTATTTTAAAAATGCTTTATATATTTTAACACAAATTATCTTTAGTAAATTCTCAGAGTCTTATGAACAGAAATTGAGTAATTTCATTATTTGACATGGTGAAAAAAATTTAACCAAATAAAAGAATGTAACTTACAAATGTAATATTATTTTAGTTAAACTTTCAAATATCTTTTAATATTACTATAGTCTTTTTTTTCATACACTGAAAATTTGCATCATCCCTTGCTATAATTCACACATACTACAATAAATATTAGACACACTCTTGACAGGTAATTCATTGTAATAATGTCATACCTGAGGTTTGGTATTCTATCCAATATTCAGTGTTACTCCAATAAATGTGCTTAAACAAGTAATTTTGCTTCATTTTACAGGCATATTAATTTCTAGTAAGTCAACCAGCTAGCAGGGTTAAAACAAAAGAAACTAAAGCATTAAATATTGACCATCCCAGCTTTATTGTAACAGGATTTATCGAGAAGAAATCTATTTTCTGAGAGGAAGTCAATTATAGTTAGTTATAATTTGGCTGGTATTCAGGACAAGTGTTGTGCAAATACATATTGAATTTCAGACCAAAATATACATATTCTAAATATGCCCCTTTGAGTCAATTACTGATTAAAGAATTCTCATAGGTATATATTCAGCATCTAGTTTGGACTGAATTAGTCACATTGGCCTGTTTGCTTATCAAGAACCAAACATATTTATATAGGTAAAAATTATTCAATTCTCAGACGTTTGTCATTTATGTCCTTAGTAATAAAAATATTATTGTGCATGAAAGACAGAGAAATATCAGAAAATAGTATTTTAATTCACTTCCCAACATTCTATTGAATGACAAAGCATGTAGAGATTTTTTATTAAGGGTCAGAAATTCCAGAATTTAAGTATACACAACTACTTTTCTCTCATATATCATTGCAGGAGGAAGAATTACCAAGACAAGAAGAGCCCCTAAGTAAGAAAGTGCCACTTCTGACAGGTTCACACAATATTAAATGTAGTGGGCTGAAAAATTCCTTTATTTTTTCTTTTTTTATGGGGATTAGTTCCAAGGGTGCTCTACCACTGGGATATATCCACAGTCTTTTTAATTTTTATTTTGAGACAGCATCTCACTAAGTTGCCCAGGCTTGCCTCCAATTGTGATCTTCCTGACTCAGCTTCCTGAGTGGCTGAGATTTTAGACATGTGGCACCATACCTGACTAAGGACTACAACTTTTTAATTTTATAATTTTTAATATAAACATTAATGAAAAAATGCAACCTCATTAATTTAAATATCTGAAATTTATAATTGCCTCAACAGACTTAATACTCATACATCTCATACATTAGCTTCTTAAATCCACAGTTGAAGTTTACATAGGAAAATCAGTTTAGCACATTCTAGGACTATTATGAAAGGCAAAGATCTAACACTGCCTATCTCCCCCACTTTGACATATATTCAAACTGTTAATGTATTTTGTATTACACATGTAATTGTGTAAACTCATTTGCTCAAACTATGAAGAAATTCTTCAAATTGATCTATATCCATACATTAATAAAAATAGTCAAAAATATGTGCTATGGATCTGGGATTAGTACATCATTAAGATTCTATGTTTATGGTATTTGATTAATATTCCATATCACATTATAAGAATCCATATTTCCCCAAAATGTTTTGATCCTTGCTATTAGGTTGATATAAAATGTCATAGTAGGTGAAGTACATAAGGCACTCTCTTAGGGAATGAAAAAACAAATAATAAATCTTGGTTTATCTTACACTGCCCATTAAGAACCTAAACAATAATTAAGACATCCAGAATATTTCTATAACTGAAGAAAGTTCTATTGGCTACTCCTGCTCTACATTTTTGATGGAGTAATGGATATGAAATTGACACTTCTATATATAACTAAGAAGGTCATAATCTAAAAAAAATTAGACATAGGGATTCCATTTCCTACATTAGAAAGCATAATTTATAGGCATTTACAGTATAAGCACCTATTCCCCAAAAAGGAGCATTTACATCAGCACTTTGTCTTTTTAAACATTTTAATCTATACTTTTTGGCAAAAACTAATAATATAAAACACAACATATATTTAAACAAGCAGCAAGCTGTCATAATTTATATATAAATTTTCATTAAATGTTTTACCAAATATGACTTAATTGGAACTAAGAATTCAAAAGTACAGCCTGGATTTTTCGAAGATTAAAAACACTTCTTCTTTGTTAGATTCCAGAAATACCTTTCCTGCATACCCTACCTCTAAAAGGTATTGCAGAATTTTTTTAATCAAAAAGGTGTCTATGATATCATATTTAAAAACACAATCTGGGGCTGGGGTTATAGCTCAGTGGTAGAGAGCTCACCTAGCACATGAGAGGCTCTGGGTTAGATCCTCAACACCACATAAAATAAGTAAATAAAATAAAGGCATTGTATCCAACTACACCTAAAAAACAAATATTAAAACAAAACAAAACACAACACAACATAATCTTAGCCAGGTGTAGTAGTGCACCATTGTAATCCCAGTGGCCCAAGAGGCTGAGCCAGGAGGATCACAAGCTCAAAGCCAGCCTCAACAACTTAGCAAGGCCCTAAGCAAATTAATGAGACCCTGTATCAAAATAAAGTGGTTCAGGGGTTAGGTGTCCCAGGTTCAATCCCTTGGACCAAAAACAAAACCAAAACAAAAACATAATCTTTATAATCCCTGTTTCCCCTTATCCAAGATCTAAAATTGTGCAGAAATTTGTAAATTTCTTATTCATAGTTATAAAGCAAATTGGAGGATCCTACCATAAAATGATAGACCTCTGTCATGTTATTTGCATGTTGAATTTAGATTTGTAGTTTCTTGAAATCCAACTCAAAGTGTTTGACCTATCACAGGAAAATCCTTTTGTGAATAAGGATTCCACAGATCACATGCCAGAGAGGTCTTGCCTCCACTGCTCTCAACTTTGTATTCTTGTGAAGAAGCTGACAAGCTTGGGTGAGACAATGTTTTGCTATCCTCCTTAAAGAATTAGAAATTCCCCTCTGAGATAGTGTGCATTGATATCAAGAGACATTATAGTTAAGATCATTTTCATAACTAAAGAAATTTGAAATTGATAAGTGGGTAATTAATAACACTTAGTGACATAATATGTGCTTATTATTTAAGGGCAGCATGACCATTTTCCTCAGAGTCAGAAAATAAATACTATTAGCCAATGAGGGTAGGATTGTACCTACCTAGTCTATATTTATAGTCCCTTGAAACTATGCTTTTTACTGCTTCACAAAACTACTGCAAATTCCCAATTCTGTGTATCAGATTTTTAGAACTTTTATCATTATCCAAAGGATAAAATCCATTTAGTAGAAATGACTATTTTTATTTAAGCTTTCCTTCATAGACCAGTGAGGATAGAAGAGATTTCACTCCAGTTTAAATTCATGAAATATTTTGTGCTTACATAGAATCTTGGATAATTTGCTGCTAATGGCACTTCATCTTATCCATCAGGGAATACAGAGTCATTGCATCCCTGAAACTAAAGTAACCTTGGAGGAATCTCCATGGAACCTCCTATCTAGTACAACATTTGAGTTATTGAAGCCCTTTCTTTTCAGTGGATCTATTTTATTTAAGTTACAATTGATTACATTGTACTGGAGGCAAAGACCTTTTTCTTTCTCCTCCCTCTTTTTATCCTCCACCCACAGCTGATTGCAGAGCACTATGGCGACTATACGAAAGTGGGTTTTAATTCAGATATTTCAAGGTGAGTTTTATATATGTTAAATATCACATAAGTCTGCTTTCTTCTGGTTATTTTCAGGAGTACTAACTTTATCTGAACTCCAATTTTTGTGGTTGAACTTTTCCTTGTGTTATAAGATTTACTTCAAGGTTAAAATGTTAATAGTGAGTGAGACTGGGTTAGAAGAAAGGGAAGTCTTTATTCCAATATGCTGGTTGATATAATGTGTGGAGATGCAAAACAACAACAGAAGTCCCACAAATTATGATAATGTTCTTTTGGCCTGAATGACTACATGTATCATAAATGAATTATCAATTTCTAAAGAATTAATTATGAGAAAAGATACAACACCAGAATCCTACTAATTGTAAACAAGGAATATACAAAGTCTTTCTGGGTCATGCTGAGATATGATTAGAATCATTAGTTATTCATGTATTGATAAATCAGGGAAATGCTTATTTTGGGAAAAAAATACTTCTGTGGATTATTAACACCCAGAGTAGAGGGACCATTCATCCCATTTCCAATGCTTGACTTATAAAATGTACTCAACAAATATATTTCAAACTAACAAGTGAGGGTGTTCTAATGAATAAAAATAAGAACTTTATTTTTCTGACAGGAGGATGAGTTGGTTAAATAAGTTTTAGTACATCTCCCCTAAATCTTCATATATAAATGAATGAAAGATATTCAGAATTTTATTGTATCTAATAAAATTTGGGAATAATATTCAGTACATCTCTCAAGGAGACTTTATTTATTATTATACATATTTTGGTCCCAGTTATTGAACTCAGAGGCACTCAACCATTGAGCCACATCTCCAGCCCTCTTTTGTATTTTGTTTAGAGACAGGGTCTCGCTGAGTTGCTTAGCCCCTTCCTTTTGCTGAGAATGGCTTTGAACTCATGAACCTCCTGCCTCAGCCTCCTGAGCTGCTGTGATTATAGGCATGCGCCACTGTGTCCAACTCCATGGAGATTTTAATTTTCCCCCCAATCGTGTACACTTGTTATTATTGTGCCAAGTGCACCCCTGTAACCTTGTTCCAATATTCCTGATGTGATACAATGTATTTTTGAATAATATATTGTCACAAATAACTATTCTGAGTTTCATCTATCCATGGAGCTGGAAAAAAAAGAATATTTGTCTGTCCCCTGGCATTGCTGAAAGAAGAAACATTTTAATAGATTTATTCAACATTAAATTTCTCAGGTATTTCAAATTTTATTTAAGAAAGAAAAGATTTAAGTAACCATCTTTATTTTATATGTCTTTTTTTTCATTATTCACTCCATTACTTGCCTCTTAATTCTATCATTCAAATCCACATTTCTGGTGCCCAGAACCTGCCATTTTCAACAAATCTCCCCACCCTCTCCTGGTTTCTTTCAGTCCTCAGGTCTTCATTCACTGAAGTCATGCTCAATTCTATTAGTTTCCCCAAAACCTCCTTTGGTTTTGAGTGTCTACAATTCTTTAACGTCTCTACACAATCCTTAAGTTTTCCATCTTTGTTACCTTAAATACTCCCACTGAAATTTCTAATCACTCCTTGACCTGTCTATATTCTATAAAAACTTACTCTTTCTCTTAGTCTCACCCAATGCTCAGAATCATTCTTTACCTCTCAGTCATTCTTTCCCTCTTCCCAGTACCCTCATTCTTTCTTCCATAACTCTCTTACTAGTCCTCTGTTCCTCCCAGTTTACCCTAGTGGGTCACGTCCTCCTCAAATTACTCAAGACCCCTACAAGTAGTTGGAGGATAATTCATCCGATTTTACTATAATTAGAAATGGTTCAAATTCACAACTGCCATTAGTTTTTTAAGATGTTGATGGAACTTTATTTTGTTCATTTATTTATATGCTGTGCTGAGAATGAAACCCAGTGCCTCACACATCCTAGGCAAGCACTCTACCACTAAGCCACAAATCTAGCTCCACAAACTGCCATTATTGAAAGAGTTTGTAGCTCAATTTTTGGCACCTTGATTTCAGTTTTTTTTCTTTATTGCTACCAAATATGCACACATCATTTTACAGACTTGACATTTATAGCATGTTCACTTGAAAGAGAACTACAGATAATCAAGGGGAATTACAAAAAAAAAAATTAGAAGGAACAGTCCCTGTCTTCATAGTACTGGCTTATTGTTAATATAGCAAAGTCAAATAAAAACAAGGTAATTTTTTGTACACAAAGAAATTAAGTTCATTCAGATAAAAATGATGTTCTGTGCACTTTTTTCAGGGGGGGGGGAAAGAATAGATGAGTAAGAGAATGTTCTATATGAATGCACACGATGCATAGTAACTATTAATGAGATTTTGTTTCCAAATTTAAGTTAAAAAAATTTTCTCCAAATCTTTGATGACTGCCTTCACCTTAAATGTCTTATTTTAACTACAGTCCCTTATATATTTATATTTAACATTACCTTTACTCTTAGGTTTATTCCAATAATTCCGTGTGATGTTAATCTCTGAAAGTCTTTTAGAGGAAATCAGTTCTGAATTGCTCTGAAGCAGATGATGACCTTGGATGACCAGAGAAGATGTGGAAAAAGTAATGGCTAGAGAATAGGTGCTGGCTTGACTGAAGAGGAGAGGTCATATGTAATGAATTTAAGAGAAAGGCATTTGTTGGAAGCAGATAATTAGGACCTCAAATGGTACACCTCAGAGATTAGAACCTATAAATTTCAATAGGTAACAAATAGCTATTATTGTTTTTAATTTTTGTGGTTGTTTTGTATTGGTTATTGCATATAATGTTTTCCAAAATAATTTTATTTATTTTTCAATACTTTAAAAACGTAAAAGTAATCCTGGGTGGGGTTATAGCTCAGTGGTAGAGCACATGTCTAGCAAATGTCATATACTGGGTTCAATCCTCAGCACTACACATAAATAAGTAAATAAATAAATAATAAATAAATAAATGTATTGTGTCTATTTAAATCTAAAAATATTTTTTAAAATGTAATCTATAAAAATTATAGATTACATTATATATCTGTTTGCCTGGGGCCTGGGTTGTGGCTCAGTGATAGAGATCTTGCTGGCACCACTTAAAATAAAATAAAATAAAGGTATTGTGTCTCTCTATAACTAAAAAATAACAATAAAAAAACTAGTTGGATAGATAATATATTTGGCCATAGTTTTTTTAAAAAACTTTTATACTGAAATTTTAGAAAGAGATTAAGAAACATTGCTAATGTCAAATCTGACTCACTTTAACAGTTCCTCTTGAAAATTAGCAGACGAAATTAGTGAAAAATTTTAAAAGTGCAATGTTGTAGTGTTATTTTTTAATTTTAAAGTGATCAACTTTAGAGAAGTTAAATTTTTATTATTTTCAGTACAAAATATTGAAGACATAACTTACATATTTTAGTTGCCAATACTACTTCAAAAATCACTTATTTTGTGAGATTAATTTGCTTTAATATTTTCAACACAGTGATGGATGACACAGAATTGAGAAGTTTTAGAATCATGCTATTAAAACTCCTTATTTTCCCTAACTTGTTCTTTAAACATGTAATTATCAAATAAAACCTTCCAATGAGTCAATGTTTCCTGTTGCATCAAAATAACATGTTGGTCAACATAAGCATTTGGAAATCAAAAATAATAATAGCTGAATGAAAATGTCAGTGGGATATATACTTCTTGAAAATGTTATCAAAAGTTATAAAATTTAAAATGGAAAGTTTGTTAGGAAAATATTGTCAAAAATACATTGCAATTGGAAAATAATCATTAAATTACTCTTTTTTATACATGACAATAGGATGCATTATGACTTAATTACAAAAGCATGGAATATATCTTGTTCTAATTCAGTACCTAGTATCTTTCCTTCCCCTCCTCTACTGTTCTTACTCCCCTACTCTACTTTCCCTACTCTATTGATCTTACTGCCATTTACCCAGAGTTTTCTTTTTTAATTAATTTCTTGTGGATGTACATGATAGTGAGACTCACTGTGATATATTCATATATTTATGTAGGAAATTTGTGTTACATTTATTCCACTGTCTTTCCTTTTCCTATCACCCCTCTCTTCCTTTCATTCCCCTTTAGCTACTCTGCTAATCTCCTATACCTTTTTAAAGTACCCTTTTTAAACAAAGGTTTTCATTTTAAATTACATGAGAAAATTATTTGTTGCTAAGTTGAAAACAACTTTAATATCACTGTTTTCCAAAAACAAAATACATGGTCTTTAAAAATTACAAACATAATTTAAAATCAATTAAAATTATATGAAATATGCAATTGAGAATCAGATAGTCTGGCTTTACAAAGAGAATTGTGATGCAAAAACTTTTACAACTGTAGCATTAATCATAATTAAATCAGTTACCCAAATGATTACAGATTTATGATTGAAGTTTATTTCAATCATGAAGTGCTGAAACCAGAAAGAAGAGTAAAAATGAGCCTCAAACCTACTCACCTTCAGGGAAGTTGGTGAGTCATAGAATGATTAAATTAATTTGCCCAAGTCTGTTTTTTTTTTTCTGGTACCAGGGATTGAACCCTGGGGTGCTTAAACATTGAGCCACATCACAAACCCTCTTTTATATTTTATTTAAAGACAAGGTCTCCTTAAGTTTCTTAGGGTCTCGATAAACTGTTGAGGCTGGCTTTGAACTCGTGATCCTGTTGTCTCAGTCCACCACGCCCAGCAAATCACAACTTTCTAAATGTATAATTTGAAATAGTAATAATTCAAGACTAATAATTTTACCATGGGATTAGAAATATTTTTTGTGAGTAGAGATATACAAACATTTTATTTATTTTATATTATATTTTAGTTTAATAATTGCAGCACAAGTTATAAAATGTATATATGTTCTGGGAACTATTCTATGAGCTTTACATATATTAATTCACTTAGTTTTCATAGTAACAATATGAGGTAGAAGCTGTTAATATCCACATTTTAAACAACCACAAGAAATTTGAACAGCTAACATAAAATCACCTA